CACCTTCACAGGTAGGAGGTTGTGATTTTGGGATCGGTATAATGTCTGAATCTTTCCATATGGCAGGAACAATTCCAGATGTGAGTGATACATTGAAGATGGTTGCGACAGGCTCGGCTAGTTCGTAGACGAACTTCTTAGGATACGGCAAGGAATGTTATCTGGACCGTGGGCTTTAAAGGGTTTAACTGCTGACAATTTTTGAAACACTTCGTGCGGTTGGACAGTTGGGACGGGTTCTTTGGTTGGAAGGAATGCTGGAAGTGCAGTCAAGTCAAGTGGTGGAATGTCAATATTCACCGATGCATAGAACATATTCAAAACATTAACTAATTCTGATTGATCAAGGGTTCTTGCATCTTGTTCAAGCGAAAAGGAGTGATTCTTTTCGGATTTTCCACCCATTTTATTCACAATTTTCCACCACATGCGACAGTCATCTTTCTTTAAATGTTGCACCTTTGTTTTATAGTACGATATTTTCCTCGCATTGATCTTTTGCTGAACCTTATACTTCAGTGATCTCCATAAGGTTGTGTTGTGCCTATGAAACGCCTTCTGTCGGTCTTTGATAAGTTGTTTTATTGCGGGTGTTATCCATGGTTTATCGTTGTGATGACGTATTAGAGTCTTTTGTGGGAAAATTTGGTCGATACTTTCTGTTAACTGGTTTGTGAAAGAAACCGCTAGACAATCAACAGTATGATTGGGAACAAGGTCACAAAACCAATCGTGTGTACTAATCCATCTACCAAAAGCATCTATCCCGGATTTAGGGTAGCGGCGTACTAAGGTTTTGACAGATTTCACTTGTATGTCGTGGTTGGAAATGCTATCGGCAGAAGGTAGCCAGTGTAGGATATTGTGGTCACTAGATCCTAATGGAGCGAGAAATTTAAGGCAATTATATATTTATGCATATTTGTAAGGATAAGATCCAGTATTGCTGATTCTCTGGTTGGTTGGTCAACAACTTGTTTAAGATTTTGAGTGGTAGTTAAAGTTCGTATTTCAAAATCGTTGAAGTCGCCCAAGATTACTAGACCATGGTCAGGGTGCTTATTCCGAAGTTGGTCAATAGTATTGATTAAATAATCGTTGAGGTCGTTGTGCTCTGATACTGCCAAACCTGGCGGATGGCATACAACACAAATTGCTAGGCCAGAGAGAGGTCTGGGAAGGCGTTTAGGTCGTAGGTTAAGCCATAAGCATTCTAAATTTTCACTTTCTAGATCTACCCGTCGGATACAATGAATGTCGTTTTTGACAAAAACACAAACTCCCCCACCTCGACCAGTTGCACGATCTTTACGGAAAAAATTATAACCATTGATTGACAATAAGCTGCTGTCTATATGTTTATGTAACCATGACTCAGTTATTGCGATAATGTCGACAGACTTGAGACTTACAAGTGCGATCAATTCATCAATCTTTGGCAGGAGCGAACGGGAGTTCAATAAAAAGAAGGATGGAAGCATCTCCTTTTTAGGTCTTTTGTTAGCATTAGCAGTACGATTAAGAGTTCTGATATGGATTAGGTTGTGGGAGGGGATATAGCAATTTCTGTGTTTCTTATGTTGTTTAGGCGTTCTAGAACGGTCTGTGATATGTACGGGAATTTTCACATCATAACTGGTTTTATTTGGCGTCGGTATTTCAAAATTAACAAATGACCAAGTCTCTAATGCTGCTTCATTATATTGCCGACATAGTCCAGATAGTCTAGCTAATCTTTCGGACGGTGGGGACGTATAGCGGGTGGACTGCCCCTCCGTACTTGGCGAAAAGGAGGAATTGGTTTGTATAAATTATTCTTTTCTCTGACGCACTTTTCATAGGGTTTACTTGCGGTCGGGTTTTTCTCCTTTGTGTTCCTCTCCTGGGGTTCTTTCGGATTGGATAGAGGCGGAAGTATTGATGTTATTGTCGATATAATTCTGATTGGACTTCAAATGACGTAGCTTTTCGTGGTGGCACGTGGGTACTTTTACCCTCTTGGCTGGACTGAAGGCGAAGGCTTTGAGTCGCTCGGTGTTTCTGACGGTAAGCTTCTGATTGATCTTTAAAAGACATAGATTGATGTTTTAGTAGATACGGTTTTGATTGATCTTCAATACCAACGTTTGTCGATTCGTGCGGAATGTCTAGTTGTTCGTTAGTATCTGACTCCCCGTCAGACGTAGTTTTTCCAGGTGCCATAGTTTTTCCAGGTGGCACATGGATACTTTTATCCTCTTGAATGGACTGAAAGCGAAGGCTTTGATGAGTCGATCGGTGTTTCTGACGGTAAGCTTCTTAGAGAAAAATAACTGAACAATCGAGGGAAGTGGTTTCGCCTTGCACAAGGTATGAGGAACGTGGTGAAACCACAGATAGCTAACAATGCGTAGATACGCAAAGAAAGTTGTAGGTATAGGCTGTGGTCAACCAATTGAGGAAATGGTGTAGATTAGGGAAATTATGAGCAGTCAAATGCGTTCCCCTGAAAAACAAACTTTTCGTGTTGGAAACAGCAGACAGTATAAATAAGAGAGAGAAGTGAGAGAGCGAGAGAGGGTTTTAAACGCTGTGATAGAGTGTTTACCGAAAGTATTTATCAGACTTGTAAATGACCATTGTAGTAATCATCTAATTCAAAATTGCAAGAGGTGCTTATATAAATACGACCAAATTTTTATTTGCTATTTAATTAACTAGCAGGAGTGTTTTATTAAGTCTACTGGTTTTCACTTGTTGTCTATGATGGACTATAAGTATCTACAAATATCTAACCATGACCCTGGTAGGACTTTATTATGCAAATGACCATCAAACGAACATCAATCCCACGTTTATCGCAGCCTCCCGATAACTATTCGCTTGAATTAAAAGGCATAGCCCTTCGTATTCACAGTCTGGGTGAGAATAGCGAATGTGAATGAGACAGCCAGATTCACGCCTTAATTACCTAATACCACCGTCACAGGCGGACGAACATAACTGCAATTTAAGGTATAGTAATAGGCTTACACTGTTTCCTTGCAAGCTAGAGCGTTTTAAGAAAAGCTTTTTCCCGGCAATGTGTCTCCGATCACATAATTTGTAAATATTTTAATTATTAAAGTATATTAATTTATAAATTAGTAAAACAATTGTTGTCACGTAATGTATGTAATACAAGGACTATTTAATATTCAAAGTTTTTAGCAAACAATGACAATGTAAACAACTTCGCAATTCGCTTTCGAGCGCGACGATTTTATAAAAAATCAATCAATCAAAAAAACATTCATTAGATGAAATACCAAACTTTGAATTTTTACCAGGCAATTCTATAGAAGCTTCGTGTGAAAACGCACTTCTTGTAGTTGTATTTCCCGTTTTTTCATATCTTAATTCGTATCTCAGTCATTTTTAATCCAAAAGGTGCAATGTCGGATGGATAAATAGAATTTGTCAAAAAAACGAAGAGCAAAAAATCGAATTTGCCTTATTAATTAAAAAGTGCAAAAACACTTACCAGAGGCTAGCGCATGCGCATTGAAAACAGGGTTTGCCGCGAGCTCCGCCTCTGTGTGGTTCCTCTGTGCCAACGACAACGAGTTTTGGCTGATGGCGTAAGCAAACAACGCGCGTGAATGACGAATCTCGTACTCGTAGTCCAGGCTAAAACTCCCTACTCTAGTAGTTCGATTCTACATCAATGTTGGTCGACTCTGCCCATCATTAGGAAACATTTTGAACGCAGTCTAAGTTTATCGTCTGTTTGGTTTGAAATATTACCCATTTAAAGGTTAAATACAGTCCTGTATCCTCACGTTCTAAATCCTCAAGTTTTGTACTTTGATGCTAGCTACAAGTGGTGATAAGTAAAAGGTAATATTGAGGGGAAAACGTTTGATAAAAATGTCTTAGCAGCATACAATCTTGGAAATCGAGCCACCAGTCCCTTAACTAAGTTACTGATATTCAAACTATCTTGCGGTCTCATATAGCCACAATATCACCTGTTAAAACCAGGACAGTTTAATTTCGTAGCTTGCCAAATTAACGTGTTTAAATCATCAAACAGTTATTTGAACAGCTTGACAGAATGTTTCACGGTCACAATTATCCTTTACTTTATAAACTAAAGCCAAATAGGCTATAATTCTCTTGGCAAGGTCAAGGATGTTTTGCCATCGGAAAATGAATTAATTATAAAATGATAACCTATGAATAACTAAGATGATAATCTATGAATAATTAGGATAATCACTCATGAATAATTTTCGAAACGTCGAGAAGTGTTCTTGTCTTTTTTCATACTACTACTTATACCTTTATACTTCATTTGATTTGTCTCGTTTGTACGATTTTTACTATGCACTCGTTGTAAAGAATCGTAACTTCACAACACGCGCATAAAAATCGTACGCACTCGTCAACCATGAAGTAATCTATATTAATTATTAAACATGGATCTGAATAAAGTAGCAGGGATCCTTCCTGCAAAATCAAACGAGAGAACACCGTCCTCGGCACGCTGTATTAGCCAAGACGGCGATATAATATAAAAAGTGTTATACCTACCCTTCAATGAACAAGCTGGCTTTATCACTATTCGTCTTTCTCGGGGTATCTTTTGTGTCGTAGTTATTTTGGTCTTTGATAGTGGGACAGTCGGACACGAGATTAAGAAAATTTGTTTCAGCTCTTGGATTTGGGTCATCACCGACACTTAATATGCGAATCTCGGAAGTAAGTTCTGATAACGAGATTTCTGAGCAATTTGAGATGTCTGAGGATCTTTTATCGTAGTCAGGAGAAAGTTCATTAGTGTCCGACGAAGACAGCGACTGTTTAATGCTGCAGATTTTCTCGCATGTTTTCTGTGACGCGTCGTGTTTAATTATGGGTTCTGTGCCCCTATCTTCCAGTGATTCTTCTAACTTTAAGCGGCCTCGAAAGTTTTTTAAATTAGAATTCTTATTTCTTGAACTTATGCAGGACAAGGGAGTCCCGTCGGAGCGTTCGAAAACATCACTAATGGAACCGCAGGGTGAACAAAACGAAGAGCTTTCGATAGGAACACGTGTTTCAACAGGCACTGTTTTCTCCAAGTTTAATCTATGTGCTTTGGTCTTGAGATACTCCTCAAGTTTTACTAATCCATCGCTCGTTGAGAGGTCTGTAAAGCCATCCAAGAATTTCCAGTGTTCGCACCATGAAACATTCTGGGATTTAGCTACTTTTCTGCAATAATAACAGAATGTTTTTAAGACCAGCTAAATTCAAAAGAGAAGCTATTAAGAACCAGTTCTTCAATTTTTATGAAACTATATAGATAGATGCCTTATTTCAAAAAAATGCGTCAAGTTAGCCAAACATTTCAAACTTTAAAGCTGAGTTTGGTTGAGTTTGGTTGAGTTTAGTGATGAGGTGACTCTCAGGAATAATTAACTCGTAAGGGTAACTTTTGACCCTGACTCTCTATGCTCGCCTGACTCTTACAAGTTAATGATATATGAGAGTCTCCTCATTACCAAACTCAAGCCTTCTCTTATTGTTCAAGGCAACTTTATTCTTCACAATACAATGAAATATTTTAGTTCATGCTGACGTATTGTTCAATTTCCAATTGACAGTTAAAAGTTCCTTTCACTGGTGGCAAATGGCGTTAAGCAAAGAAAGTAAAGGAAGACATACGACTGTCAATTAGCCAATATTGTAAGTGGGTGAGGGTTGTAATAAAAAAGTTTACTTCTCTTTAATCAAGGCATTATCTGCAATAGTTTGATGGCCTTGTCAAGGCCGAAACTAGACAAAATTTTGCACTGAATGGAAATCAACCTTAGTGGCTGTTCTCATGAGCGCGGTTACCGAAATTTTACGAAGCGTAAAATGGACTTTGAGCTATAGAGAAAAGCTACTCATTTAATCTAGATGCCTTGTGAACCTAAATGTTGTTCGATCGCAACACTCAGAAGCACATCGTACTTTAAAAAGTATAGTTCAATTGTTTAAAAATGTAAATAAACTGCGTGATACGTTCACTTTGTCTTACACTTTGGAATTCGTGCTAATATTAAACCTTCAATCCTGTGCAAATTAACTGCGACGTGTCAACGCGTCCGTTAACGACCACATCTTGTTAAACGGCGAAATAGCAGCGATATTATTAGAATAGGACCAGAATCTACACGTATTGAATATATTCTTACCCTAAACTTAATCGAACAGCATCAAAAGAACGGTTTATTTGTCCCTCTTGGTGGAATTGCCTTATCATGCGAGCGAAATCGAATCGCGCATCGGAAAATTAGCCAAAGCTGTGCACCACAACTCTTGGGAGATAAGACTGGGACGTAGATAAATACGGGCACATACACATTTCAAATACTAGTATATTTCGCGCCATTACAGACTTGCGACGACGAAAAATAAAAAAGAAACAAAACAAAACAAAACCGGGGCGAATTTTCAACTCCGTCGCTGGCGCCGGAGTGGTTACTCGATTTTTGCGCCCGGAATGTTTCAAGCAACACTCTTCGCTCCTTGTTTCTTTAAATCTTGAATATTTATCAAGCCCGGCTGGACATGCGCAGTTGTGACGTAACAGTAACGGGCCAGATTCCTCAATATTTTTGTGAACTTAGGAAAAGGGATAGATAATTAATAAATAAAACAATTTAAACTGATTTAAAACGTTACCGTACTGATCATGTACAAAAAATTACTATAGGCATAAATCAAACTATCCCCCGGGAAGTTTACACTATAGTGAGGCGGATATGTGCAAAAATTTGAGTGAATATTTCCCGTTTAAGTTAAAAGCACCAGATTTTCGGGATAAGAGTAGTTTCACATGTTAATTAAAAATATTAAATGGGGCCATCTCAATCTTGCTGAAAAATACCTGTTTTAAGCCCTTTTTAAAAGTGCAGGAATCGTGACCGGAAGTAAGACCGGAAGTAAGACCGGAGGTAGGACCGGAAGTGATATTGCCAAACGATAACAATACAAAAAGCAGTCAAAAGCACAGGAAAAGTAAAAAATAAGAAAGTTTTTACAAAGACAAGTTCACTCAGGTACGTTTTTAACCAATTTGACGTTTTATTATATTGAAATAACATTTAGACAAGAAAGAAAGCCACAAGAAAGAATAAAATGTCTATAGGTAGTTAGGAAATCGGCATGCGTTTTTTATTAATATTTTTTATTAATTCGGGCTAGCTTTTTCAGATTTGTTTTATTCTATATTATGAGTAAATGATTACATGATTCTGCGAGTAACATTGTTTTTTGCTCAGGCGAGTGTTTTGCGAGCTTTTCTTAACTCGAGCAACACTCCCAAGTGTTTGGATGAGTCATCCAAACACGGAAACCATGAAGTACTTGTTTTATAAAATAACAAACTAAAATAAATACATGTTATTTTATAAAAATATTTTCTTTCTTTTTTGAATTTAAAACAGCTAAATATGGTCACTTAAAACTTCCACATGGAGGGCGCCGAGGTTGGTGAAATAACTGACTGGTCTCGGTGTGTTATTTGTCAGCGCGACAAAAGTGAGCCCTTACGGTGTCCGGCTGAATCAAATGCAAAAAGCAACATAGGGGCTGGTTACAAAACCCTTGCACAAAACATTTGTGAACTATCTGACCTTCATTGCCTCCCGATTGATTTTGATGGTGTATCAAGGTTGGACGAAGGGGATGGGCTAGAAGAGACGTTTTCTCGTCGTCATGCTAAATGGCATCTCAGTTGCTATGGAAAATTCAATTCCACCAAGGTTTTACGAGCAAAAAAACGACGCGCTTCTAGTGTTAAGGACGCGGTTGGTGGAAAGTATACACGATCTAGTGCCACTACATCATCCTCACGTTCCACAAATGACCCAGGGAACACTATGCCAAAATGTTTCCTATGCGAAGAACCGGGGACACGTCAGAAGTCACTACACCAGGTCTCCACTCTAAGCCTTGACGCTCGGGTTAGACAGTGTGCTTCAGTACTTCAGAATGAGAAACTTCTGGCAAAACTGAGTGGCGGTGATCTTATTGCCCTAGAGGCCAAATATCATGCGCCTTGCTTGGTATCCTTATACAAGAAAGCGCAAGTTGCTCGTGAAAAAAATGAAGAGGAGGATGTTCAGCGACCCGATGGTATTGCGCTTGCCGAGCTTGTTTCCTATATTGAAGAGATCCGTGCCAGCAGTAATAAGGAACACCCAGCAACATTTAAGCTGGCTACTCTTGGAAACATGTACAATAGCCGTGTCGCACAACTTCTGAACGAACCGCCGCGTTCCAAATACCCTACCCGGTTGAAACAGCGCATTATGGCTCAGTTACCCGGTTTGCAAGAATTCAAAGAGGGGCAAAACGTTTATATAGCTTTTGGCGAAGATCTCGGTGTTACGGTAAAGGCAGTACATGAATCATGTGATGAGGAGGCAATTCATCTGGCTAGGGCAGCATCGATCATTAGGAAAGATATTTTCGCCAAAAATTGTCAATTTGATGGTAGTTTTAAACAAGGATGTCAGCTTAAATCTGTTCCTCGATCTCTTCTGTCCTTAGTAAATATGATTTTATATGGACCAAGCATTGACACGCAATCCGGCATCATGTCGAAAAGTCAGGCTGGTCTTTCAATCAGCCAGTTAATCCAGTTCAACAGCTTCAAACGCCGACGCAATGAAGAGACAAACCGAGAACGGCGAAGTAAAGAACGTGAAACACCTCTCCCATTGTTTATTGGGCTATCTATCCATGCGAAGACCCGCAGCCGTGATCTTGTTGAGATGATGTACGACTTAGGGCTGTCTGTGTCTTACGATAGAGTTCTTGCTATTTCCACTGAACTAGGAAATGCAGTTTGTCGTCGTTACCAAACAGACGGTGTTGTTTGCCCTCCCACCTTGCGTCAAAAGGTTTTTACAACAGCAGCAGTCGACAATATCGATCACAACCCTAGTTCGACAACATCCAGGGACTCTTTCCACGGTACAGGTATTTCCTTATTCCAGCATGTGACGACCGATGGACCTGAAATAACAAGAGAACGCAGTCCTCTAATGAGTACTGCTGTCAGCAAGAAAGTGATCGTGTTACCGGAAAGTTATACCCATATCCCATCAGCAGCGCTCCCGCACAAGAATATTGCGGTACCAGAAATGTCCGAGCAACCCATTGTGGATTCAGACCAGGTTGATGCAGCATATTTGGAGGAGATTGGCTGGCTTCAAAACGTCAATAATTTGATCGACCGCGAGAGTTTATCAACTGAAACGAGTTTCTCCTGGGCGGCTTATCATTGCACCAATTCGTTTGCACAGCATGCGGCATCAGTTTCAGCACCAGCAGTATCTGCTTTGTTACCTCTTTTCCCGGAAGAAGCGCATTCTGTTGCGATGATAAAGCACTCGATAGATGTCATCAAAGCGTCTGTGGAATACATCAACCCAGGCCAAGCAGCCGTAGCTGCTTTTGACCAGCCTCTTTACGCACTAGCCAAGCAAATTCAGTGGAACTGGAGAGATGTCTACGGAGAGGAAAAGCTTGTGCTGATGTTTGGTGGCTTGCATATCGAACAGGCCTTCCTCAAGGTACTTGGCAACTGGCTAGAAGATAGTGGTTGGACTGCTGTGTTGGCTGAGTCTCAAGTTGCATCTGCTGGTACTGCTGACTCATTCATTAAGGTAACAAACATCAAGCGTACGAGAAGAGCACACCAAATTACAGCTAGCGCCCTGTATGTTTTGCTGCAGAAGGCACATGCTATTTATCAGGAGAAAATGGGCGTTGACATCAGCACGCTATCATTTGATGACTGGTGCACGCAGCAAGCATCGCAGATCCCCCAGTTTCACTTCTAGTATTTGGCCATGCAACTTGAGTTATTGCTACTCGTTTTTGTGAGGTCCATCCGCCAGTCTAACTTCCCTCTCTATGTTGATTCCATCGCCAAGATGCTTCCATGGTTCTTTACCTTCAATCACTACCACTACGCCCGCTGGCTTTCTGTCCATTTGTTCGATATGCGCGCTTTATCACAAACAACTCCCGATGTTCTCCATCATTTCAACAAAGGATTGTTCACTGTGCAAAAGTCGTGCAAGCGTTTTTCAGCAATCGCCATTGACCACGCACATGAACAGAACAATGCCATGGTTAAAGGAGATGGAGGTGCTGTTGGCTTATTGGAAAATGATAGTGCTCTCCGACGATGGATGGTGTCAGGACCAGAG